AGCTACGTCTTCAGTTGAAGAAGCTATATCTTCTACATTACAGGGCAAGTCCAGTTGAATGTAACTAGCTACTAATAGATGTACGATGACCTTGATAAATGAGAACCTTCAGAACCACACAGGTTGAGTCTGAAGAAATGGCTTAGAGAAGATATAAAACATCTTCAACATTCAGGTCATGGTATATCTAGTAGTAGTTGGTCACATTCAACTAGACTGGTCCTGCAATGTTGAAGATATTTTGTCGTTTATCCAAGTCATTTCCTAAGTTGGAGACACTACAACGCATCTTCAACATTAGAGAACAAGTCCAGTTGAATGTAACAAACAAAGGTGTACCATGACCTGGATAAACACACACACACACACACACTTGGCCTGTAGAAGTGGCTTAGACAAGAAACATCTTCAACATTACAGGACAAGCCCAGTTGAATGCGACCAACTACTACTGGATATACTATGACCTGAATGTTGAAGATGTTCCATATCTTCTCCGAGCCATTTCTTGAGTCCGAACCTGTGTGGTTCTAAAGGTTCTCTTTTATCCAGGTCATTGTACATCTATTAGTAGCTAGTTACATTCAACTGGACTTGTTCTGTAATGTAGAAGATATTTCTTAGCTTCTCCAACTGAAGACGTGGCTTGGATAAGATACAAAACATCTTCAGCATTACAGGACAAGCCCAGTTGAATGTGACCAATTACTACTTGATGTACCATGGCCTAAATGTTTAAGACATTGCATAGCTTATCCAAGCCCTTTCTTCAAGCCAAGCCTATGTACAGTATCTTTGAAGGATCTCGTTTATCCAGGTCATGGTGATTTGGTTTGCAGAGGAACCCTTCAAAGCTCTTCCTCCCAGTGTCTCTTGATTCTGAGTTAGCACATACTATGATATCCTACTATCCCAACATGGACCTCACAGCTACTCCTCCCAATGTCCCACCATCCAAAGTCATCATATCCTATGACATCACACTGACCTCACAGCTACTTGTGCATTAAGCCACAAGCCCCAACATATTTCGTTTTGCTTTGAGCATAATCACACCAAAAGTAATAGTACAGAGCCAGGAAATTTTGTATGTAACATCAACTTTCCTATTAACCCCAATACATCCCCATCCTAATATTGTACAATCAGTAGAGCTAAAAAAAAATCTCTGCTATCTGTTTATAAAGAAACCTGTATAGATCACATGACCACATCAATCAGGATGGAGGAGGACCGGAGTCACATGATTGAGAGGATACTAAACCTCACCCTGGAGATCATCTACCTGCTGACCGGAGAGGTGAGGATCCTGGGAGGTCACATGACATCACTCATCTCTATTAATAAAACACAGACCTGACCGGAGAGGTGAGGAGGATTCTGGGAGGTCACATGACATCACTCTTATCTCTATTAATAAAACACAGACCTGACCGGAGAGGTGAGGAGGATTCTGGGAGATCACATGATGTCACTCTTATCACTATTAATAAAACATAGACCTGACCGGAGAGGTGAGGTGAGGAGGATTCTGGGAGGTCACATGACATCACTCATCTCTATTAATAAAACACAGACAAGACCGGAGAGGTGAGGGGGATTCTGGGAGGTCACATGACATCACACAGACCTGACCGGAGAGGTGAGGAGGATTCTGGGAGGTCACATGACATCACTCTCCTCTATTAATAAAACACAGACCTGACCGGAGAGGTGAGAAGGATTCTGGGAGGTCACATGACATCACTCATCTCTATTAATAAAACACAGACAAGACCGGAGAGGTGAGGGGGATTCTGGGAGGTCACATGACATCACACAGACCTGACCGGAGAGGTGAGGAGGGTTATGGGAGGTCACATGACATCACTCTCCTCTATTAATAAAACACAGACCTGACCGGAGAGGTGAGCAGGATTCTGGGAGGTCACATGACATCACTCTCATCTCTATTAATAAAACACAGACCTGACCGGAGAGGTGAGGAGGATTCTGGGAGTCTAACATGATGCTCCTATTGGTTCCTAAATATAGAGATTTCCTCTTCTGAAGTCAGGTGATCATATGACCATCACGGTGCCTCCATGTGACTCCCTAAACCCTGAGAGACACAACATGCAGAAGATTCTAGAAGTAACCAAGAAGATGATGGAGCTGCTGACAGGAGAGGTGAGCGGTGCTGGGAATTCTGGGACATTCTCCAGTAACAGACAAGGGATGTGTCTGGATGGTGACTGTATCATTGTGTGTGTCAGGTTCCTATAAGGTTTCAGGGTGTCACTGTCTATTTCTTGATATAGGGTTGGGGGTGTTTAGAAGACAGTAAGGACTTCTTGAAGGATGTGAAGATAGAGAAATGCCAAACCTTCACATTCCAAGGTAAGAGGAACTTGTATAGGGGGAAACAGTGCAGAGGTTCCACCTAGAACCCCGCCATCTGACAAACACATAGAAACAATGGATTCAGTCAGTGTGTGTGTTTCCTACAGATGGATCCAGTCATGGGAACCCACCAGAGAGATGTCCCCGTCTTCTGTATTCCCTGAAATCTACACAGGAAGTTCACACCATCCCTCACCATCATCAGGTAGATGGGACAAACCAACCAGAACATGAAAGTCCTCAACAGTCTAATATGTGCAAACTAAATCTTATACTTTACTAAAGTTATTTTCTCTCCTTCTCTTGGTTTAGGGTGAAGATCTGATAGATATAAAAGTTGAGGTGAAATCAGAAGGAGAAGAGGTGTATGTGAGGGATGATCAGCAGTCTATGAAGGAGGATGGAATAACGGGGACATTTATAGAGGAGGACACTCCTACAGAGATCAGCACAGGTGGGTCATAAACACTAAACACATTTCCTTTCCTCATACCATCCTCCTTGGACCAGAGCAGGGTGAGAACATATGAAATGTTAAGTTCTCCTACCCTTCAGTTAGGTTCTGTCCGCTGCTTTAGTAAACATAACGTACTTCTTTCACATTCGTTTGGCACCTCCTACACTCTTACGTAAGTTTTTTAATTGAATCACCTGAATTCATATGTCTTCATAAAGTGATAATAAGTGAGGAGTCGTTAACTCAATGATGGTGGTCCTCAAGATCACGTTACTCTTCCTTTATGATTTAGGTCCTCATTTGTGCCATGCATGCTCCAAGTTGGTTGGGCTCCTCTCATCCTCACTCTTTCATTGCCAGTTGGGCTCTTCCTTATGTTATTAATTGATCATATTTGTCAGAAAGTGATAATATATAAGGAGTCATGAACCCAATTGATGGTGGTCTTCAAGAACTTCATTTTATAGTTTAGGTCCTTATTTGTGCCATGCATGCTCCAAGTTGGTTGGGCTCCTCTCATCCTCACTCTTTGATTGCCAGTTGGGCTCTTCCTTATGTTATTAATTGATCATATTTGTCAGAAAGTGATAATATATAAGGAGTCATGAACCCAATTGATGGTGGTCTTCAAGAACTTCATTTTATAGTTTAGGTCCTTATTTGTGCCATGCATGCTCCAAGTTGGTTGAGCTTCAGGCATTCTCACTCTTTGACACCGACTGGGTTCTTCCTCTCTGTCATTCATTACTACATCATTGGCCGAATAAGGAAGTGTATGACATAAACGAACAATAGAGGGATTGGGGACTACCGTACCATTGTCAGTAAAAGGACAGACCTCAATTTTTTACAAGGTTTTGTAAATGTAGAATTGAGCTGGAAAGATGATCCAAAGGTCCCAGTTACTGGTTCACTTGAGGGTAAAAGCGTAAGATCCTCAGCACTCACTCCACATCTGCCTGGTGTAGATAGAACCTTGGTTTAAGTCGACTAACTTGCTTGTGTCTAGCAGTAATCTTTTCATTCAATTTTTAGTGTATGGACTTGATGTCAGGAAAACCGCCGAGGATTGTCTCACTTTGTCTCCAGACTGTAAAGTAGAAGATGAGGACATCACGCAGTATAGTCCAGGTGAAAACCCTACCACCCAACTATATCATGCAGGAGAAAACTCCACCACCCAACAATATTGTCCAGCAGAAAACCCTGCTACCCAACAATATTGTCCAGGAGAAAGCCCTGCTACCCAACAACTATGTCCAGGAGAAAACCCTGTTACCCAACAATATTGTCCAAGAGAAAGCCCCACCATCCAACAATATTGTCCAGGAGAAAGCCCCACCATCCAACAATATTGTCCCGGAGAAAGCCCCACCATCCAACAATACTGTCCAGAAGAAAGCCCCGTTACCCAACAATATTGTCCAAGAGAAAGTCCTGCTACCCAACAGTATTGTCCAGGAGAAAGTTCCACCACCCAACAATATTGTCCAGGAGAAAGCCCCACCATCCAACAATATTATCCAGGAGAAAGCTCCACCATCCAACAATATGGTCCAAGAGAAAGCCCCGTAACCCAACAATATGGTCCAAGAGAAAGTCCTGCTACCCAACAGTATTGTCCAGGAGAAAGCTCCACCAGCCAACAATATTGTCCAGGAGAAAGCTCCACCACCCAACAATATTGTCCAGAAGAAAGCTCCACCACCCCAGCAATACTGTCCAGGAGAAAACCTTGTTACCCCAGATGTCCATCTGGGGCCACCTACTGTGGATAGACCATTTTATCTCTCTTATCCTGAGGAACCTCCAACTGTAAGAGGTGTAGTATTCCTTGAGACAGATAATATGATTACCTTTACAGGATCCCATAAACATCATCTCCATGAGCAAAAAAATTCATGCTTAGGTCAGCGGCCCTATTCCTGCCCCGTGTGCGGAAAGTGCTTTGTCAGAAAGTCACATGTTGATAGACACCAAAGGTCTCACACGGGTGAGAAGCCGTTTTCCTGTCCTGAATGCGGGAAGTGTTTTTCACAGAAGTGCCATCTTACCAAACACCAGAAGTATCACACGGGGGAGAAGCCGTATTCCTGTTCCGAGTGCGGGCAATGTTACTCACAGAAATCGCTACTAGACAGGCATCACCGATCCCACACAGGGAAAAGCCGTATTCCTGCCCACAGTGTGAGAAATGTTTCACACAGCAGGCCCATCTTTCCAGACATCAGCGATCCCACACGGGCGAGAAGCCGTATTCCTGCCCTGATTGCGGACAGCGTTATTCTCAGAAATTACAACTTGTCGCCCATCAAATATATCACACGGGCGAGAAGCCGTATTCCTGCTCCGAGTGCGACAAAAGCTTTGTGCGTAAACAAGATCTCGCCAGGCATCACAGGTCTCACACGGGAGAGAAGCCGTATTCCTGTCCCACATGTGCGGGAAGTGTTTCTCGCAGAAGTCCCACCTTCCTGGACATCTGAGATCCCACACGGGCGAGAAGCCATATTCCTGTCCCGAGTGCTTGAGATGTTTTGTGTATAAAGTAGACCCTCACTATACATCGAAGGACTCACACGGGGAGAAGCCGTATTTATGTCCCGACTGTGGGAAATGTTTTTCTAAAAAAGCAGATCTGTCCAGACATCTGAGATCCCACACATCCCCCAATGCCAGCGAATGTGCGGGAATTGTTTTTTGAAAAAAAAAGCAGATCTCTCCAGACACCTGAGATCCCACATGTTCCTTGAGACAGATAACATGATTACCTTGATCTCCCCTGCTTTTCAGCCACAATTCTCACCTATTCACCAAGCAGTCAGCTTCTTCTTGTAGTATACACTATATTGCCCCAAGTATTGGGCCACCTGCCTTTCCACACACATGACCTTTAGTGGCCTCCCAGCCTTAGTCCGTAGGGGTTCAATATTGAGTTGGCCCACCCTTTGCAGCTATAAACAGCTTCAACTCTTCTGGGAAGGCCGTCCACAAGGTTTAGCAGGGTGTCTATGGAAAGGTTGGACCATTCTTTTCAGAAGCACATTTGTCATGTCAGGCACTGATGTCGGGGGGAGGAGGCAGTCTCCATTCTAATTCCTCCCAAAGGTGTTCTATGGGGTTGAGGTCAGGACTCTGTGCAGGCCAGTCAAGTTCCTCCACCCCAAACTGGCTCCTCCATGTCTTTATGGACCTTGCTTTGTGCACTGGTGGGCAGTCATGTTGGAACAAGGGGCCATCCCCAAACTCTTCCCACAAAGTTGGGAGAATGAAATTGTCCAAAATGTCTCCTTAAGAGTTCCCTTCACTAAAACTAGGGGACCAAGCCCAACCCCTGAAAAACAACCCCACACCATAATCCCCCCTCCACCAAACTTTACACTTGGCACAATGCAGTCAGGCAAGTACCGTTCTCCTGGTCACCGCTCAAAAACCCAGACACGTCCATCGGATTGCCAGACAGAGAAGCGTGATTGGTCACTCCAGAGAACACCGTCTCCACTGCTCTAGAGTCCAGTGGCGGTGTGCTTTACACCACGGCATCTGAAGCTTAGCATTGCACTTGGTGATGGAAGGCTTGGATGCAGCTGCTCGGCCATGGAAACCCATTCCATGAAGCTCTCTATGCACTGTTGTTGAGCTCATCTGTAGGCCACACCCAAGTTTGGAGGTCTTTAGCTATTGATTCTGCAGACAGTTGGTGACTTCTGCGCACTGTGTGCTTCAGCATGCGCTGACCCCGCTCTGTCATGTGACGTGGCCTACCACTTGGTGGCTGAGTGGCTGTTGTTAAACAGTTGCTTCCACTTTGTTATAAATCCCACTAACAGTTGGAATATTTAGTAGCCAGGAAATGTCACGGATGGACTTATTGCACTGGTGGCCACCTATCACGGGACCACGCTTGGAGTCACTGAGCTCCTGAGAGCGACCCATTCTTTCACCAATGTTTGTAGAAGCAGTCTGCATGCCTAGGGGCTTGATTGTATACACCTGTGTCCATGGAGGGGATTGGCACACCTGAATCACATGATATGGAGGGGATTGGAACACCTGAATCACATGATATGGAGGGGATTGGAACACCTGAATCACATGATATGGAGGGATTGGAACACCTGAATCGCATGATATGGAGGGGATTGGAACACCTGAGTCGCATGATATGGAGGGGATTGGAACACCTGAATCACATGATTGGGAGGGGATTGGAACACCTGAATCACATGACATGGAGGGGATTGGAACACCTGAATCACATGATATGGAGGTGATTGGAACACCTGAGTCACATGATTTTGAGGGCATTTGGAACACCTGAATCACATGATTGGGAGGGAATTGGAACACCTGAATCACATGATTGGGAGGGGATTGGAACACCTGAATCACATGATTGGGAGGGCGGGCCCAATACTCTTGGCATATATAGTGTATATGTGTTTCTGGTTGGTACAAACATGGGTACGTTTCTAAGTGAGGATTGGTGGTGAAAGAGGAGCTAAATTTTGCTTCTGGTTGAAGAGCAGGGGAGATGAGACTACATGACAGGGGATATCAGACTACTTGACAGGGGAGATGAGACTACATGACAGGGTATATCAGACTACACGATGGGGGAGATGAGACTACACGACGGGGGAGGTCAGACTACACGACGGGGGAGATCAGACTACACGACGGGAGAGATCAGACTACACGACAGGAGAGATCAGACTACACGACAGGGGAGAGAGACTACACGACAGGAGCGATCAGACTACACAACAGGGGAGATCAGACTACACCAAAAGACAATTTGGTGCAGCAGCCCTGCTCTGAGCCTGCAGCTGCATTTGTTCACGAGTGCCATTGGTTGACTGGTCATCAATATAAAATCAGATACATAATTCCATAAACAAATGTAATTATATTTACAAAGTTTTTTGGGGGTTTATACTATAAAAGATATAAGGATTAAAACTTTACATATATTAAAAAATCATGACATTTGTATGGTGACTGATTACATGGGTTTTGCTGGCTGTTATGTACGCAGTGCAGGAATCTTTTGTCATCGTCGGAGGCAAGAGAGCACCGAGGGGGGGGTCAAGTTACAAAAGTTTAGGGGTCTTAACTTTAACCCCTTCCAGTCCAGACACTTTCACCCCCTTCCAGTCCGGACACTTTCCCTCCCTTCCAGCCCGGACGCTTTCCCCCTTCCAGTCCGGACGCTTTCCCCCCTTCCAGTCCGGACACTTTCCCCCACCTTCCAGTCTGGACACTTTCACCCCCTTCCAGTCCGGACGCTTCCACCCCTTTAGTCCGGACACTTTCACACCCCTTCCAGTCCGGACGCTTCCACCCCTTCTAGTCTGGACACTTATCACCCCTTCCAGTCCCGCTTTCCCCCCTTCCAGTCCGGACGCTTTCACCCCCTTCCAGTCCGGACGCTTCCACCCCCTTCTAGTCCGGACACTTTCACAGTCAGTTCCGGACGCTTTCCCCCCTTCCAGTCCCTGGACGCTTTCACCTCGTCCCACCCCCGTTCCAGTCCGGACACTCCCATCCTGACGCTTTGTACCCCCCTTCCAGTCCGGGACCGCTTTCCACCCGGGGGGAAGCTTTCCCCAGGGCCTCCAGTCCACCCCTTCACAGTCCGGACGCTTTCACCCCCTTTCCAGTCCGCTTTCACGCCTTCCGGACCCCCTTCCCCCCTTCCATCCGGAACGCTTTCCCCCCTTCAGCCCGGACGCTTTCCCCCCTTCCAGTCCCCTTCCAGTCCGGACGCTTTCACCCACCTTCCAGTTCCGGACCCTTTCACCCCTTCCAGCCTTTCCCGCCACTGTCCAGTCCTTTCCCCCCCTTCCAGTCCTTTCACCCCCTTACCCCGGACCTTCCCCCCTTTCGACTGTCCGGACGTTTTCACCCCCTTCCAGTCCGACCCCTTTCATCACCCCCCATTCCTCAGTCCGGAACTTTCCCACTTTCCCCCCCTTCCCAGTCCGGACACTTTCATCCCCCCTTCTTTCTGGACACTTTCACCCCCCTTCCAGTCCGGACACTTTCCCCCCCTTCCAGTCCAGACATTTCCCCCCTCTTCCAGTCCAGGCCAGTTTTCAGCGCTATCACACTGTGAATGACAATTGCGCGGTCATGCAACACTGGACCCATATACATTTTATAGCATTTTTTGAGACAGATAAAACTTTATTTTGGCGGTATTTATTCAACGCTGGGATTTTTATTTTTTTTGCTGTATAAATGAAAAAGTCCAAAAATTTTGAAAATAAATAATATTTCATCATAAATCTCGGCCAAAATTTATTCCGCTATTTTAGTTAAAAAAAAATTACTCAAATTAGTTTATTACCAAAAATAATTTTTTTTTTACATTTTTATTTTTTTATATTATTGGTTTTTTTTAACATACCGTCACCCTAGCAGTATCATGGCGACACTCTACTACTTTTGGGGGGGATGAATATATATATTTTTTTTTACACTGATTGCTCTTACACCCATAAAGGCTGTAAGAGGAATAATTTCTCCTTCTCTCTGGCTGCATTCTTGCAGCCATTGAGAAATACTGTGTGAGCTGTGATTGGCACATGGTACTCAGGCTGTTGTGAATGGCCCTGTACCATGTTATCTCTGTGATCATTCACAGATTTCACACGTAGTAAGCAATGATGTCAGAAGTGACCTCTTGCTTACTACTCTGCATGTGATCACTGATTGGCCAATCATTGATCACATGATGGGGACCACGCACAGAGGTCCCACACAATGATCTGATCCGGAGGACACAGCGGGCCCCGGGTCGCTCCCAGAGAGCGTGCACAGTCCATAATGGCAGGTTCTGGTTATGAACGGCAACCCACCTCTGGAGTGCCACCGTCCAGCTGTTTATAAACAGCGGCCCGGGCTTGAAGTGGTTAAGGTGTCATCACAATCTCTAGGGGGTCTAGTTTAAAAAAAAAAAAAAAAAACAACTAAAGAAACAGCAAAACTAACACAGTTCAGGAACGTAGTCAGAAAAACAGAAGCCAAGATGCCGGAGCGGGGTAAATCAGACGAGCCGGGGTCAGGAAACCAGAAGTCAGCGTAGCCAAGAACAGGGGAAGGAAGCAGAAGAGAAGTCAGCCAGACGGAGTCGTACACAGGAACACACTGGAGATCATAGACCAGGCAAGGAGGAAATGAGCTAAGCTGCTAAAATAGCCAATGGAGCTGACTGTGGGCGGGGCTAATGAGGCAGGTGATGGTATCAAGGTGAGTCACCGTGGAGACGAGCGGCTGGTAATTAACCGACAGCTGAGCAGCTCGCTAAATAGGAGCCCAGCCCTGACACCCTACACAGAGGGGAAGCCCTGCACTGGTACGAGGTGAGTGAAAATGAACCCCATCATTGGTAACAACGGAAAGTAAAAGGCCCATCGTTGGTGCTCGTGGGATAAAATAAGCCCCATCATTGGTGTCAGTGAGTTTAAAAAAAAAAACATTTCTGGTGTCAGTGGAATAAAACAAGCCCCATTGTTGGCGTAAGTGGGATAAAATTAGTCCCATCATTGGTGTCGGTGAGATAAAATTAGTCCCAATCCATCATTGCTGTCGTGAGATAAAATTT